TATCAACAAAAAAATTCAAATTCTCATACAATGTAGTCTAGCAAAGTGACTAAGCGACAATTGAAGCACAAAAGCAATTACCAACTTGTAGTCAAATTCAACACTTCTAATATGGAAAATAATTCATAAATTTCTAGTACAAGCAATGGTTACCCCACATGGTAACCCCAATCCTATTGCCATCCCACACGATGATGTGCTAAATAATGAAATTTAAATTAGGGTAAGCTAATATGCCAGAACGGATCAATCTGAGTACAAAAATAATGAGAGATGTGAATTTACCACTTTACGGTCACCACTATTCCCCCTAAAGTCTCCAACAACTGCAGCAACCAATTAAGCAGAAAATGAACTCGAACGCGTAAGGGGACAAAACCATTTAGAGTCACAATTTTGCCCAAAACATAAATAGAACACCACTACAGGGTCCAACACACCTCTATGAACAAGTTGTCTTCAGACGCCATTGCCGTAATCCTCTCCTAGCTCTTGCACGTGCCTCTACCAAAACTCCACATGTCGTTGTCGTCACCTTCATACAAGACAGGTAAGAGTGCCTCGACCTGCATGGTCTGTCAATGATCTTCATTCGTCCAATTGGCCACTAGGTTGGCCGAAAATCGCAATTATATGTGCGATTCTCGGGCATTTTTTATTGATAGATTTGTAATGTGATTTCTACTTCGTTTCAACTTATTTTCTAGTCAATTTTTGGTGAGTTTTTCTAGCCAAATCTACCACCTTGAAGCTATGATACTAATTATCGTGGAAGTTTGCTCCAAGAATTTTCTAAATTGTATTTTTGGACTCAATTTCACGTTACCTTTCTCTATCAAACAATTAATTCAAACGGCTCCAACCTACAATCAATATATTTATCTCGATTGCTTCTCAATCTCACCCACAAAGGTCAATATTATCATGCTGCTTTGTAAACCACAAAGACACGAGAAAAACAATGGAAGAAACACAAGATGGAGGCTAAAACAAAAGTGAAAGTTGTCGAATTTTTGTCACACGAAATTAGCTGATTTTTTGACAGTAAGAGCAACCACGTTTTCGTACTCGTTTCTCATAAAAATCACACACTAATGACTAGAGTAGAAACAACATATATATAGGGTTAGGTTAGACTTTAGCTAGACCAATAATAAGGTTAAATATGTCAAGATTCAATGCCATCCAACAAATAATATATATGGGTAGTGAGTAACATTAATTTCTTAAACTACTTCCAATGGTCCATGTTATTTTTGGGTCAAGCTTTTGGACTTGGTTATTGATAATCAATTCATATTGCGCATGCCTGTGAAATTATATTTCGACGTTTACATCATAGCCCAGGTTGCATTGGGTATCAAAACCCAACACTTCCATTATGATTCAAAGTCGGGGAACAAGCAATCAAGAACAAATTTTGTATTATTATTAAATAGCTTTTTAAAATTAAATATTGAGTTTATAAAAATACACAAGTATTTTTTCATACAATGTTATGTAGTGCTTCTTTTTCCTTCTTTTTTCAGAAATAATATTTTCACGTATCATGTGTGTGTCATGTTTTGTTTTTTGTTTCCATTTCTGTGCACCCAATGGCACCAACCTCCAGTGCAATTGCGAAGTGAAAGAAAGAAATGGGCAGCTTCATGATTTCAAAATAGAATGTAATGCAGATAGGGGATAAATGATGTCTTATCTCATGGCTTTCCAATGGAAGAAAAACAACATTGCCATATGAAATGCATTTACAAAGTTCCAAAAAAGACAGATCTTCATTTTAAGAAATCCCCAATTGGACAAGAGAGAGTGGGGCACCTCTGTTGGTATCTTATATAAGATTGATGAGAGAGGTGGCGCTACCAAACGAGAAGAGTAGAGTTGTGAAGGCAAATTTCGCAAAATTTGAATTATGAAAATTGAAAATTATAAGGATTTTTTTTTAAAAATATTATGTAAAATCTTGAAAAATTTAGTGCAAAATTTTGGATTTTAAATTTAGTGCGGGGGCAGCAAACCCCCTGCCCACACTGTAGATCCACCCATTCTGCCATAATACAACCACAGAGATAGGGACGGAAAGATGGAATCACCACCATCAGCAAAAAAGATGGCTTCCCTTATTGTTTAGTACGTTTTAGTTGTTTGTATTTCACATCTTATTTTAATTGGTATCTTCTTGCGTCATTGTAGCGTTTCCTATCTCCAAGATTTTCTTACTACTCAAGCACTCCTAAGACATAAGTTGTTTCTTTGTTGTTGGATATATTGTATAAAAATAAAAGAGTTTCTACATATTTCAATCCAAATCGATGTTCATGCATGAATCTACAGATTGTAATATTGTGTTATTCAATTCTCTCAATTCTGCCTACATCACTAATGCACTCATGATCATCTAATAAGGAGGATTGAACTTTTTACTTCTCGTTTCTTTTTGTATTTTGGAGTAGGCCCTGAGTAGGGATGGAAAAAGTACTCGTCAAACTTGATACCCGCGAAAGGGATTACCCGCTTAATCGAGTAATGAGGTCGGGTACAGGTAGTGAGGGCCCTACCTCACCACGTTATTTTTTTTAAAGAATTCAATACTTTTAATAGAAAAATTTCACAAAATTTCATTAATTCTAATAGAAAATGACAACTAAGATTATCTAAAGAATATGATAAACAATAAAAACCTTAGTTTACTAAATATATTCGAATAATTTAACTTTTAAAAATAAATAAATTAATTAAAAAATTTAGTAACTATATTACTGTCTCACTTGAATGAATGAGAGTAATAAAATGAATATCAAAAACTAAAAAAATAAAATAATAAATGGTACGTAAACTAGACAGTCGCCTCGCCTCCCGATTCATCCTTCCCTACCTTAAACGGGAAACGACTCATCCCGTTGCCATCCCTAGCCTTGAAGGCGTAGGAATAAAGCATAAATATTCTTATGCAAAAAATTCTTCATCAAATTTTGCTGGAATGATATGTCACTTGACATTTCTTTCCCTAATAATATTGAGTCGAAAAATGACCAAGTGAATATGAATACAAGAAATGCTAAGAGAGAAGCTTAGCTTTGCTTAAGATTGTTTCAAGTAATTTAACAAATTGAGATTTTATATAAGATTTTGCAATAAGTGTCCAGCAAGTGTTGTCCAATTTCTCATCTAAGTCCTAGTTTTACTATGTGACACGGCTTCTTATCGTGCCCTCATGTGCATCGCAACTGATGTCTATCTTACATTATGCCCTGTTTGACAATCACTATTTGGGGGCAAGGACAATGTTCTGAATAATTATTTTTAGAAGAATGTGTAGTTAAAAAGATGAAAAAAAATTGACTTTAGGTTTAAAATATTTTATTGTGTGAATTTACACTCCTTAAATTATTTGCTACAGTAACATTTTCCACCAAACATTCGCACAATAAAATATTCTATATATAAACCAATAAAGTTTCTTTAAAATTTTAACCACACATTCTCTAGAAACTTTAATTTCTCCCACAATGGGAGACAAGCAGGCTCTAAGATAAAATAAACTACGTACTGATAGATAGCTAACCACTAGTCATGCCCTTATGGAAAACTCCACCTCCACGAATGAAATTGTGTCGCGGCTCAGAAAAAATATTTTTAATTTCGTGGTTGGCTGCGGCACCAGCATTACCTTACAAAAATTACTACAGTAAAAAATAATATATTTTCCAAATTTACCCTACCACCACACTGGAAACTCACCTTATCAGCCTTCTACAATTTGTTGGATATAAGTCCTTGTGAACATAAGGTTGCTATATAAGATTTTGTAGTAAGAAGTTGGGCAACACTTATTGGACTCGAATTGCTCATTTGAATTTTCTGGACTCTGATATCATATTGAGTGTTACTATTCCATCTTTAAGCATCAAACCTTAACAACAGGTGTAACTCAAATATTTGTATGTTCTTTGTCTTATTTTATATTTAAATGGCATGGGATTTCACTCTCAATTACAAGACATATTCAAAACTAAAAAGTATTCTTGAAATGTCTAATGTTTTGCTTGTTTAATAAAACATTCCTAAACTTTTATCAACTTTTCACCCTATCAAATTTCGATTTTGATCACATATTTCATTGAATCCACAACTTTTTTTTCAACTTATCAATCAGATATTTTAAAAGTGTTGTCAAAATATGCTAGTTTTTATTTTTTTTGAAAAACTTTGTGTCAAACAACCCGTTAATTACTTCTAGGTTTGCCTACCAGAATTCAAGAAATTAGATTGGCTAAAAAATCTATGTCCAATTTTCCACGATTGATTGGTTAACTGACCTGGATAATTCAAGATTTCACACTACTTTTATGGATTTAAAGTTGAGGGTGGATTATGATTAGGACGGGAATGCATACAGACGAAACAGGGGAGGTATTTCTCCTTCCAACCACACCCATAAATTAATTTACCGAGTTCATTTCACGGATCCTTAAATTTTATTTTAGAGTTAGTTCATTCTCATCATTCTCAAGTCCATGATTGCCATTAAAAGAATATATATACATAAAGGCCAGAATTCAAATTTTACTTCTTGTTCGAGTTCTCAATTCAGTCAAACAACTGATTGTTTGACTTATGTTGAAAGATTAGTAAAATGTGAATCATTCTTCAAAATTGGCTAGTTTGCTTCAATGTTTTCTTTGTGGGGGAAAAATTATAATGCTACACGAAAATATATAATTCATTTACCGTGACATGAAACAAAAAACCAATTTGGTAGTAGAATATATAAATAAGGTACATGAATATATTCTTCTGGCCCTTGTTGTAAATTATAATGTAAGATCATTGACACTCTTGACATCATAAATTGAAATAAATTCAAATTGTTTGTAGCTATATTCAAGTCATGAGTATTCAAATTTTAGGCATCATCACTTACACAAATTTATGCAAATGAGTAAATACGTTACTCGCATGGCCAAACAATTGCTAGACTATCAACTTATGAGAGAATATTTAATAATAGAACTAATCATATATTAAGTAGATACCATGTTATACACACGAGGAATATCACTACCACAGACCATACCAATAAAAATTAAGTAAAGAGAATAAATCTGCTTACAAGATATTACATTTGAATAAGAACATGAGTAACTAGAAAATGTCTTGTTATAATGGATATGCATATTCTTAGAAGTTACCGAGGATATAACTCACTCATTGAGGCCTCATTTGTTGATAAATGAGTGGTACTATCTGATTGATCTGGGGATGAATGAGTCTTATGAAGAACTGAAATTTCTGGATGAAAGCTACCTGACATGAAAAATGCAGGTCGTGAAGGTACTGCCAGAGTTAAGGAAAAGCTAGAGAGCATGAGAACCACCGATCCCATTGTAGGTCTATCGGTTGCATTTTCTTGAACACATAACAAACCGATATGAACACATCTCATAATATCACGCATGGATCCTGAAGAAGTCCTCAATGCAGGATCTATTATATTTGCAATCGTTTCTTGGTGCCAATTTTTCCAAACCTGTGAGAATTGAAATGTTTAAATACAATAAATATAATCCTTGGTGGCTTCAAATTGATTGAGACCAAACCTTATCATATTTGTACTTACACAACTTATGAGGTCGTCCCCACTCTCTCCATTTCGAAAATTATAAGTTTTCTGACCACTTATGATTTCCAAAATTAGGACACCAAAACTGTAGACATCTGATTTAATAGAGAAGTGTCCATGTAATACATACTCAGGTGCCATGTATCCACTGTGATGGTCAATATGTAAGGATATCATTAGCCACGAGTTTAATTAAATAATCATCTAGCTATTTTTTGTTATTAACATGACCACATATGTTTTGTTTGTTCACTTCATATTTTCTTTTCATACCAACCACTATGCAAAAATAAACTAAGTGATACTATGAGACAAGAACTTTGTAAATTGCTTACTATGTTCCTACTATTCTGCTAGTGCTATGCTGAGTTTCGCTTGGGACAAATAATCTTGCCATACCAAAATCTGAAATTTTGGGGTTCATTTCTCCATCTAATAGAACATTACTAGCTTTGAGATCTCGGTGAATGATTCGGAGGCGAGAATCTTCATGTAGATAAAGAAGTCCCTTGGCAACACCACCGATGATTATATAACGCTTTTCCCAATCCAAACATGGATTGTTTGAATCTACAACAACGATAATTACACTTAAATATAATTAGTCATACAGAGCAACTAGATTGGTTTAAGAAATTTGAAATATGATTTACTTTAAAAAATAATAATAATGAAATTTTACCAAATATGAAGCGGTCCAAACTCCCATTCTGAACCCATTCGTATATAAGAAGTCTTTCATTTCCTTCAACAGAGAAACCTAAAAGCCTAACCAAATTCCTGTGTTGAAGTCTCGCTACTAGCAAGACCTCGTTCTTAAATTCCAAGTTACCTTGCCCTGAGTCATGGGACAACCTTTTTACTGCGATATCTTTTCCATTTGGGAGTTTACCCTGAGATTAAATCACAAGAGAAAATTACATGAACTTCCTAGTAGTATTAATTTGTATGACATGTAACAGATCACTAAAATACTTAACCTTGTAAACAACACCAAATCCACCTTGCCCAAGCTTGTTACCATCGGAGAAATTGTTTGTTGCAGCTCTAATTGTACCAAAATCATAGTGGAGGGATTCAACGGTACTAATTTCATTGTCAGCTGGAACATGTAGAGTATAAGATTTCATCAAATTGTAGGCGAAAGGGCATGAAGATGGAGATTGACAAGACATAAAAATAGATATCTAAAGAAAATTAAACTTACTTTCATATTGTTCTTGTGGTTTACTCTTTCGTCTCATTCTTATGACGATGCTTTATACCCATTTTCAGTTTGCACAATTTACATTAATAACATGAATTCAGGTATTAAGTTATTATTTTAACTTATCATAAAATATTTACCCTTAGATTTCTAGTACATAATTATTATTTAGCATATGAAACTTAGTGATTCTATTACTGTTCTTAAATTTGAAACATTTTGCTATTGCATGGGTGAAAGGAATGATAAGACTAGTAACTCCATAAAGTTATTCCATAATTGCAATCTTTTAATCTCTTATTAATCAAATACATGATTACAGAACTTTTCATTTTTCAATAAGCATATATATTAAATTACAAAAATTAAAAATTAGAAAGGTGAAATCTTTTCTTTAAATTGATGCTCTCTGTTGAGGGATTTAGAGTAAATGACGGAAATAATTGAAATGAAGTCTGCTATTTTTATTGTGTTATATGACACTATATATTTTAGGGATAATTGTAGCTGAGGCCCGAAACCTTTTAAAAAGTTGAAAACTTTTCGCTAACCTTTCATTTGTTATAACCGTCATTCCAAACCTTTCAAAACATTACAGATGAAGTCCCAATGGATGAATTCCATCCATATTTCTATTAGTTGACCAAAAAATTAGACTTTGATCACATATTAATCAATTATAAAAGGACAAAATGGTAATTTTATATTTTTTACATTAAAAAATTTAAATAAAAACTACAACAAAGGGAAAAAAAGAAAAAAACAAAATAAAAAGGAAAAAAATTTCTTCTCCCTCACCCTTACCCTTACCCTTACCCTTACCCTTACCCCAACCCACCCCCACCCCAACCCCAACCCCAACACCTAGCCCTAGTAATTAGATTGATGAGCTTGAGACTGTGAATCCGAGAAGAACCCACATCTCGCTCCTCTCTCACTCTTCTCAAGACCATTGCCAATCACCTGTTTCTTCATCACTGCCCAATTATTAGTCTCGTCAGCCCATGAACGGGCGAATTCATCGAGGGTTGTGGGTTCTCCAGCGTCCACATTTTGTTCCTCAAAGGATGAGTGGGCTTCCTACATCGAAGGGGTTTGAAACTCCAATTCTTCATCATCCTGAGGCGTACATTGGTGCACTTCTTTCTGGGATTTTGATGGCTGTTTAAACAATAAAAATCGCTGCCAGGACTCTCGGATTCAATTCTAGGGCAAGTTTCTTGAATAGAAAATGACATTGATGCAGGCTGAAAATCTGAAGAATAAACGTAGTTGTTGATGTTCATCTCTTTGTGGGTTTCTGCCTCATCGTTGACACCATCTTCCTCCAATTCGTGTTTACCCTAGGCGTCGATTGGACAAGTCAACGATGTCGTTTGGGAGGAGTTTCTACTTAATTGGGTGTGGGGTGGGGAAGGGAGAGGAAAAAGAGGAGGGTTTTTCTTTTTTTAATTTTTTAAACTTATTTTAATGTAGTAAATTTAGTTACTATTTTACCCTTTTAAAATATTAAAAATATGGTTAAAATCAAATTTCTTAGTCAACTAACAGACGTTTGGATGAAAAATTGTCCAAAAGGGCCTTCGCTACAATATTTTGAAATGTTTGGAGTGACAGCTGCAACAAATGAAAGGTTAGGGAAAAATCTGCAACTTTTTGAAAGGTTTAGGGCCTCTGCTACAATTATCCCTATATTTTAATATTATTATTTTACCAAAAGAAAAAGAAATTTAAATTAAGAAGAGTACTGAGTAGGATTTTTACAATCGTTTTAACAAACCCCCTACAACACCCTTAAAATCCTTGAAATAACCTCTTTTTCAGGGACCCCCCCTTTTGGTATATATATAACATTAATACATGGAAAGATCTTAAATTTGAAAAAAAAAAGTTTTTTTTTATTATAAATTCTTTTATTGTATCATACAACACAGGAACGCTTTTAGAAAACTAGTCAATGTACGAACTTTATTTTTAAATGACCTACAAGCATTATTTTATTACGGGGCGGGACGCCCTCACCTCACCCTGCCCTGCCTTAAACGACTTGGGGGTGGGGCAACTTTTTGCCCCGTTTAATTTTTATTTTTTTATTTTTTTTACATTTTCAAAATTTCGAGTTATATCATTATTAGAGAATAAAATACAAATTCAAAATAGATTTTTAACGGGTGAGTTGTCTAAAATTATTTTTAATCTTTTTCCCCCTTCACGCGGTGGGTTCGGGGCGGGGCATCCTCACCCTACCTTGCCCGGCCCTGCCCATTCAAGGCGGGCTTTTTTGTCCCATTCGGCACGGGTCCATTGGGATGAGTTTTTTTGCCATCACTATCTATTATCCGTACCACTAATTTCTATTTATTTATAAGTTAACTGTTCATAAATTCTTTCCAAACAATAGCTTGTTTCATTTGCCAAACAAATAAATTTAGACATAATTGACTTTATTCTTAAAAATCAGTAATTAAGCAACTCAAGCTTTAAAATTGAGTAAGTTGGTTCTCAATCTTTTGTTATATTAGCCTAATCAATCTAAAACGACAGAAACCATCCACTACTAATGGTGGGGGCCAGCTTGTTATTTGGACAATAACGTGGTGACAAATGGTCTTATCATCGGAAAATATCTCTGGCCACAAACAAAAATTGATTCTGTAGACAAAGTCCTTACCTGGCGACTGCGGTGACGGTGGCATTGGTGGCGTTGGTGGCTGGGATACTGCTTCAACCATCGATACGTTGTAGAATGGATCGGGATCAGTTTCGAAACGAAGATAGCAACTAGGACTAAGGACTCTAACTCCTCTTGCACCCTCACAGCATTCTCGAATATATTGGGCAGATTTGTTTAAGCAATCACCACATTCCTCCGAGGTTATATCAGGTGTGCACTGTTCAAATGCAGAAATTAACGGATGATTCGGATCATCCACATGCCGAGTGGCACCAGCAAACTTCTTCGAGGAGCTATTAAAAGCGACATGGTCGTGAAGGCTGTTCAACAGTACGTCCAACTCTCGGTCAAAAACGACTGTATTTGTGACATTTTCCCCACTATGACCCGACCTCATTGGGGAAATTGCAAGAGTTCCAAAGATAGCCTTGTTGGAGTATCGTACCATGCAAAATTCGTGCCATAAGATTGCCTGTTTTTGATTCGGACACCTCTTTAAGATTTCGGCCGTAGCATTTTTGACATATTCACGACACTGAGAAGGCTGAAGATCTGCTCTACAGAGCGCAATGAGATTGACTCTATCTGAATTTTCTCCAATGGAGTTGTTGTAGAATCCATTGGTGTTGATATTAGGCGAGACGGAGGAGAGGAGAGTATTAAGGTTTCTTTCGTACGTGCTAGTACTTGTGTACCTACCACTGTCTAGACAATCAAAATGAATAAAAATTTCAGTTGGGAACTGGGATTTGACGATAGCAACAAGGTTTATCAGACAGATTAAGAAAATAAAATTAGAAGCCATTTCCAAGAACTCAGTGCTGTATACATGTATATAATGTTTGCAAAATATATATATATATATATATATATATATATATGGAGAGAATACTTGGTGCTATATTTCAGTATGTGTGCATGTACACACACACACAAAGAATACTTAGTGCTGTATTTCAGTACATGTGGATGTGTGTGTGTATATATATAAAAATGATTTTCTAAACATCGATACTTAGCTTATGTTAAGCACCAATGATATAATATATTATTAATTGGGGTGTGCCATGTCATCGATCCTTAAGCTAATCACCTAATTCATTTTGATGTTTATGGTTTAAATGTAATTTATTAATTTATAAGTTTATCTTTTCAACATTGTCAAATTAACTTAAACCTAATTCATTGTTGAAGAAATGTATTTTAGATGGAAAATTATACTTAATATATGTTTAACTTTTAAAAAGTATTTTTTTTTTCTCAATCGGACTAATTAAGTTTTACTTAAAATTTAATTGATTTTGAGTATTAGAATCGAGAAATCGACTAGCTTGGTTCTCTATTTCAGCTAAAGGACCAAATTTAATAGATCTACTGCATTACAACTTTCGTTATCTCATAACCAAATCCACATTTCAATTAATTTATATGAATTAAAATATATTTCGATTAATCATCACTCTAGTTGTTTGAAACGATAAATATAAAAGTGAAACTTAAATATGTGCAAAAACATGTTGAAAGTTTACAGTTTTCTTTTCGAGAGCATAAAATGAACAAATCAATTTGATCTAACACTTGTCACAACCGGGCCATGTCCACCCCACTTGTCGAACAATTAACAAATAGATGGTTAAAGTTTGAAACCAGACAATTAAGATATTAAGTCCTTGTCCTTGTTTGATAGAGATCAAAATCAACTTTTTTAGTAGATTTTGATAAAAATTGATAAATGTAGTTAAAATTAACTATTAATTTTGATTTAAATTAAAATTTAGATGTTAATTTTTAACAAAATAAAGCTATATCTTTTCCAATTCTGTATATGATGAAATTTCAAACCAACCATGCGTGTCTCAATTGTCACGGGATTTTGCTAGACGGACAAGGCCCAAAGTGGCCCCATTCGTCATGCCCACCCCCCGGGCAGGGCCAACATGTCCTATTTGTCTAGAATAATTCATTGTCACAAGACATTTGAATGAGACCTTTCTTCTTTGAACCAGAACTACAATTTGATTAATGAGCCAATTTCGTTCATTTTTTGTTTTTCTTAATTAATGTAAATTGAAAAGAAGAAAAATTGTATTAAATGAGAAAAAATAGATTAAAACCTTGTCAACTATATTATTCAATCAAATTCAACACTTCATGGCAAACATTCAATTCATGTTAATAGTTTATTAATTTGTAAAGGGCTTTAGAAACACTCGACAAACCTAAATGAGGTAGAAAATGAGAAAAAATGATGAAGACAAAATTACAAACTCATTAATTTTGAAGAAGCCAAGAACTGATCGAAGAAGTGGAAGGAAACCCAATAGTTTTAGAACTCTGCTACCTATATTGAAAATATGTGCATGTAGTTTGATAGATGAATGCGTATACATAATTTCAAATCAACGTCATACTATTTGTACAGATTATCTGTACAAATAGAATAATTCATAATTTTATCCAATTCAATAAATATCAAAACCCATTAAAAGGAATATTTGATCCTGCCACTTCCAAAAGCTTTCATATTGCTCCTTGAACCTTCATAATCATCTGAGTTTGGTACGTCTAAAATTTCAAAAAATGTGAAAATTAATAAAAATAAACTTTCTAAAGTTGAATTTCGCTCTCGAGACTTGCGATTTTTCTTCTGATTGCTCCTTTAATACTTCTGACAACTCCTTGCAATCTAGTTAATTTTTAATTGCTTCGAACTAACTTTAAATTAGCTCAAAAATTCTTCTTCTTCTTCTTCTTCTTCTTCTTCTTCTTCTTCTTTTGCTCCAAAAGCCTTCAAGTCCGAATGTTAGCTACCATAACCATTTTTACACTAAATTAGATAGAAAATCACTCAATTCGAAATTATCTAGCAAGTTAATAGCACGGATGAATGAGCAAAAATACACTTATCACTTTCTCATTTAATTTTCCTTATATGTTTGATAGACCTTGATGCTATTGTCAAATCCCAATTCCTAACTCGAATTTGTATTCATTTTAAATGTCAAAATAATTGTAGTTACACGAGTTATAGCTTGTACAAGGCTAACATCGGTACCCTCCTGTGTGCATGCTATATAGTTCAGGGACCAACCAGGTTGTTTAGATACTAAATTGTACGAAATTTACTACCACATGCAATTTCAGTTACCTAGTCATCATTTATGTTGGTTTGAATAGTATAGACTAGTGGAGGGACTAATTGTTTACATTTTGTAAAGTTGATGAACTAAAAATGTACATTTTAAAGTTTAAAGACAACCAGGATTTTTACTCAAAATTACAAAGAAAATAAGGCTTGTAGACATGTTATTTGGTAGTGTTAAATGTGTCTAAATTAATTGTGTTTGAAATGGTTCAACCTTTTGTGTTTGCCACACGGCACCGTCTTCACGAAGGGTTGAGAGATGTTAATAGATCCACAAACCTAACTTAGCATTATCAAACCAAGTAAAAAAATGTGAAGATCGTCTAAATACAAATCCTTATTCTTTTTCTACCCATAAATCTCCAACTTCATACATGTTCAACAACGCTATTGCTGAGATTCAATAACTACTAATTTCAAACTTCATTGCAAGAAAAATGTTGAGGAGACATAACTATACCATGTTGCCAATTAGCAATGGGCGCGCAACCGATGGTCACGAAACGAAAGAAATGGCATCAGCCGATGCAAGTCCTCCTGGCCACCGGCCAGCCATTCAACAGGAGAAAAAACCAACAATTCTAGACTCGGGTGCAAATACAAAATTTCAAATTCAAGCTCAACGGGGTACAAATCCAAATCCTAATTAACTTGATGCAAGTTTTAAATTTCTAATTTTTGATTACTTTTTGCAAATACTAAGGGGGGAGTAAGTGAGGGTTGTCAATAAAAGAACAAAAAAGTGAGGGAAACTGATGCAGCAAACGTATCACCTGACTACTGCTGCCTTTTTAATTTATTGCCTTCATTTAGTACTTAGTATTCGTTGAATCATTAATAATTTTGTGAAGTCTTGAGGTGCAAAATCATCATTATTATCTTGAAGTTGGTCACAAATTTTTGAAAAAAATTAAATAAATTAATTAATATTGTTGAGAATTTTCTCCAATTTGATTCAGTTTTTGATACTCAGTGTCTTATGTATAATCAAAGATTATTCTGATCTTGCTCTTGTATTCTGTTTTCTCCTGCTTCATCAGATTGGGCAACAAATCTAATGTACATGGTAAAATTCTCGAGAGTTTTCATGAAAAATGGTGCTGAATGGTGGGAGGTTCAGTGGGATGAAATTAGGCAGAATCATCAGCAAAATGGTGGGTCTTTGTGGAGGCATGGTACATAGATGATAATTTCTTCAACAAATGAAGATAAGATCCACTAGCTATGGACATGATGATAATGGTGGGTCACAAAGTAGTGCGCATTAAAAGGTAAAATCCCACATCAATTAAAGATGAAAACATAAACCAAGTTATAAAATTTTGAGCTAGTCCTTTTAATAAGTTTGACATTTTAAAATGAAACCTCAAGTTCTAACATAATTTAGCCCATTAAATTTCAACGAACTATTTGATTCGATTAAGACTCAATAAATGAGCTTACAAATTTCGGCTCAAACGAGCCACCATTTTGCGGGACATGTTAACAGATAAAATTTCATATCGATTAAGGATAAAAACATAGACCAACTTATGGCATTGAGCTACTTCTTGTAACAATGTTGACATTTTAAGATGAAATCTCAAGTTTTCACAGTGCAGTCATAATTACGAATTTGGAAGTGGTGAGAATTTAGAGGAACATTGCGAGAACACATTTTTCCACTATCCTAATTTGATTTCTCATTCTATATCAGGAATGTGAAAAGCATCTTGATGGTCAATGGAAGAATAAAATTGTATAATGGATGTCAAGCTGTCCGAACTATTTTGAGTGCGGTAAGAGGAAGGTTGATTATGACAATTTCTAATTTGCGGACGAATTTTTTCTGATGTGGAGTATGATGCAGCGGACTTTGCACCTAACTACAAGGCTGTAACTGTTCGGCAGCCATTTAATTTATATTGGTGCCCAATATTCATTCAGTCATTAGTTATTTTGAAAAGTCATTATCATCTTAACGTTGGACAAATTGTTTTGATTAATATTAAAACTGTTGAGAGTATTCTCCATTCAATCCAATTCTCATATTTGCCATTTAATCTCCAAACGACAAAATGACCCACCTAGAGAAATCAAGACTTGTCTAATCATCTTCATCTTCCAAGCTCATTCTGCTATACTCTTGTGAAGTATTAAAAAAAAAAAAAAAAATCTCAATAACAACAGCCATATTACGATCAAGTTTGGATGCTTGGAAAACCTCTAGTTTCTTGTCAAAGTGGGCCTGTTTTAGATAAATCAAAGCCGTAAAAAGTTGTGAAGGATAAAGTATATTATGAATAATTTGACTAGTAAAGCATCCTGGAATTAGATTCTGCGCATGGATAATTTATGCCACTGATATGATCAGAAAAAATATCTGGTTTTTCTCCAAACAACTTTTTCGTTCAAAACCAAAACATTGAAGGATCTGTGTGGATCCGAGCCAATGTTTTAAAAAAGTGAGTTCGGTTCAGTTCAACTGTTTCGTTGTTCATCCCTAAGTAAAACTAACAAAAAATTCATTTGCAAACTTTAACTCTTTAACTTTCATTTAAAGGGATTGAACTTATTTACTTGAATGGTTGTAATTTTAAGTTAACTATGCTTTTAATTATTAACTTTTATTTTAGTCAAATTTTTTTTCCCCATTTTTCACAATGCATCATAAAATATAGAATTTGTTTTTATATTAGTTTGTGCAAATTATCCCTGAACTTGTCTGTAAAATT